CACTGATAAGAACTTGCACTTGGAAAGAAATAGGTAAAGTTGCATGAGCACCTAATGACCTCCAGGTTGTGTTGATGATTAGATATTTGAAGAGGGGAGGACACACACACACGAAGTTGCTTTTATTTGAGTATGCATGTCAGCTCTCGCTAGGGTGTTATCACATCTTTGAAAGCTAAAAGGGATTTGGCATGTTCAACAGTTGGAGGAGACAGTAAAGGAGTGCTTGAGGAAGTGGTAATGGTATAATGGTCAATAGACAGGTCTCTTCCTGCTGAGTATGCATTGTACCAGTACTGCATATCAAAAGGAAGGATCAATGTAGAGATGTCAAAAATATGGCCTGTGGGCCACATTCGGCCAACAGTGCTGCCCATAGGTCTCAGACTTGACCCACACAACACATGCAGTGTATGCGGCACATAGTGCCCACGCTGGGTGATCCAGGATGTGCACTGCACGTGGTACCCGCTCTGGCCAGTTCAAGATACAGGCTAAATTCAGCTTACGGGGCCAGTTTGTGGGTCTCATCCAGGCTGTGGGTCTGGCCCCACACCATTCATTTGGCTGATGGGGTCAGATCAGTCTGACACCCCATCAGTTAGGCTGCTACCTAGGCCTACTGGTGGTCATTGTTTAATTCCCTGTTCAGTATCAACTACCGATGTGACCTTGGGCAAGTCACTTAGGAACTGAGGTACAATACAACTATCCGTAAAATGGAGATAACAGTGCTTCCTTAACCCACATGGATGCTGTGAAGATGACTACTTTAAGAAGTGCAGTGTTTAGCTACTACAGCAATGTGGGCCCTAAGTACCATAGACACATAAAACGTGTGATCCTGCCCTCACTCGCTCCATTTGTACAATCCAATTGCATCAGTGGAGCCACTCTTGATCAATATCATTATAAACAAGAGCAGAATCGGACTACTGTCTGGGTGGAGATACAACTCCTTTCTCAATTGCCTTATATCCTTGAGTCATTATTTATATCCCCACAAAATAGGTGCAAAGAGCCACAAAATCTGAATCTGCTGCTTGCTCACGTTGGTAATAATGTGTTAATATCCACTTTACAAGAGGCTTCAACTTCCTGCTGGCTACTAGAGAGCCACAGAAGCCCTCTTCTGAGTGGGAGAAGTGGTGTAACTCTTTTGGGAGAAAGGAGGGCTCTGCCACTGCAGAGGAGGTTTAAGTGGAAACATGCTCAAAGTTTTACTGGCAAAACTTGAGTTCTGTTAGCAGAGAACTGTAGCATAAATTAGGCCTTGCCATACCTAGGAGGGTCAGTGGGCAGAGTCCAGTTATGAGAAGACCCATGGGTATCTTCTTGACCTGAGGACTAGAGCTTTCTTGGGACAGCTAGGAAAACAGCAGCAACAGGTAGGAGAACGGTGGGGGAGGGGAAGAGAGGAAAGGGGAAGGCATGGCTCTGAGCATGAAGGGTAAAGGAGGGGAAATTTTAGGCTAATTTAGGGACTTAAAAAAAAAAAAAAAAAAAAAAAAA